AAGTGGCTACCTTTGTGGAGGGAGAAGAAGGGAATGGAGATTAGCTGTAATAAAAGACAATAATATTAAGAAGATATCATGCAAGGAATGGTGGTGATCAGGTGTCATGAATTGAGGCATATGATTAACTGAGCCCTGCACCAAGAAAACAAAACAGCAGCAACCACCCACTCCCTACCCATTATTTTCCTTCTCCTGTGGAGACCCATTTCTAGGATGAGGAACAGACCTTGCATATGATTAACTGAGCCCTGCACCAAGAAAACAAAAAACCAAAACAGCAGCCATCCACTCCCTACCCATTATTTTCCTTCTCCTTGTGGAGACCCATTTCTAGGATGAGGAACAGACCTAGGTTTCTGAGATACCTTCCAAATAACCCAAACTAGGGATGGCGGAGACTTCCCTAGTGATTAATGCAGCATCTGAGTCAAGGAACCTGGAGGGAGGAGGAAGTACCTCCCTGGTGGAGCCTCATTAGTAAGGACACAGATGGGAGCCCTGAGGCAGTCTCATGCCTGACCTGGTGGGTGCTCCTGATGCTCCCTCTCAGCCTAGTTCCTCCTTTCCCTGGGGCTCCATGGTACTAGGTCTTATCTCTGGGATCAGAGATAATCCAGGTTAACATGTCTTGTTATTTCCCCTTTGCACAAGTTTATGACCTGGTTCCAGGAGATCTGGGGACCAAACTTCTACCATGTCTGGTAGCTCTGTGCCTAGGTGCCCAGGGCAGGAGCAGACACCCATTAGGTATCAATAAAAGCCTATGGATCAAAAGTGATCACTTGAATCCTTGGTTGGGGGCAAGGACGTTGAGATAACATGACTCCTTTTTACAACTGCAGAAGTATTTCTTTATGTATGCACAATAATGTATTTCACTCAGTTGTCTATTGGTAGATGTTGGAGTAATTCCAAATTTTTATGATGACAATGTTGCCATAAATTTACTAGTACTCATGTTTTATTTTTATCACTGTTGCTTGAATTCCTATAAAGTTCAAAGAGTGGCATTGTCTCAAAAAGAATGAACATTTTAATTTTTATATATCCTCTAAATTACTTCTCTAAATTGACTGTGTAGCATACTTCCATGACTTTCAAGAAATATAAAATTAAATATACAAAAAACTGGAAGAACAAATGTAAGCAGTTTGATATTTGTTTCAGTGTCTAATCTTATCACAATGATTTATAGCATAAAAGAAGAAGTTTCTGGGTCTCAAGTGTCTGCAATAATTATCAGTATAATTTATGATTGTTATCCTTGCTTCTTGGAGAGATACCTTTCTCAATATTTGTGATTTAGCTCCAAAAAGTTCCTTTTGTTCTTTCCTTAAGGTATCAAATTAAATAAGAAAATTTGTTTATCTTCACCTTGATTTATCAGTGAGGAAAGCTGTGAAAATTAAACATGTTTCACAGACCAGATTGGCAGGGCTGCAAGTTTACTATGGAAGTTAATGCAGTAGATATCATAATAAAAAGTAAGATTGGCACATACAAAAAACCCAGCTGTGGGCCAACTTATTAATAAATATGACTACAAAAGCCTAAATAAAGCATTAACATATCAACTTCATTCGTTTATACTGGAACAGAAGTGTGGTTTAATATTAGGAGAGCTATGAAACGTGATTTGCACTACTCTTATGTTCATTGCAGCATTATCTATATATATAAAGAGCCAGGGTCCGTAACATCCAAAACAACTGAACAGACTACCAAACACCGGAAGTCAGTCCTGCAGCTGCAGGCGCCATGACCCAGCACTGACTGCCAAGGGGGCTGCAGATCAGGCCTGGAGAGAGGCCCAGAGAGAGAAGCAGGGCCTGATCCGCAGCCCCTGTGGCAGTCAGTGCTGGGTGAGCACCGAGGAAGTCAGTCCTGCAGTCAGTGCTGGATCACCATGACCCAGCATTGACTGCCACCACTGCAGGCGCGGTGACCCAGCACTGACTGCTGAGGGGGCTGTGGATCCTGTGGGATCAGGCCTAAACCAGCAGTTGGACATCCCCCAAGGGGTTCCCAATTGGAGAGGGTGCAGGCTGGGCTGCGGGACGTCCCCCACTCCCCCATGCATGAATTTCATGCACCAGGCCACTAGTTTACAATATCCAAGATACGGAAGTAACCTAGGTGTCCATCAACAGATGAATGGATAAAGATGATGTGGTGAATATGTACAATGGAATATTACTGGACCATAAAAAAGAAGGAAATCTTACCATTTGCTACAACATGGGTGGATCTAGACGGTATTATGCTAAGTGAACTAAGTCAGGCAGAGAAAGACAATTACCATAAAGTTTTATTTATGTGTGGACTCTAAAAACAAAACAAAAACAGACTCATAAAAAAAGAGACCAAAGTGATGGTTATCAGAAGAGAGGGTGTGGGGGATGGATGAAAAGCGGAAAGGAAATATAGTCAATAATATTGTGATAAGTTTGCATGGTGACAGATGGTTATAAGAATTAGTGGAGTGATCACATTGTAAGTATAAAATTGTCGAATCACTTATATCAGTGATGGCGAACCTTTTGAGCTCGGCGTGTCAGCATTTTGAAAAACCCTAACTTAACTCTGATGCCGTGTCACATATAGAAATTTTTTGATATTTGCAACCATAGTAAAACAAAGACTTATATTTTTGATATTTATTTTATATCTTTAAATGCCATTTAACAAAGAAAAATCAACCAAAAAAAATGAGTTCGTGTGTCACCTCTGACACGCATGTCATAGGTTCATCATCACTGACTTATATCATACACCTGAAATAATACAACCAATATAAGATTGTATACCAGCTATGCTTAAATAAAAAATAAATTTAAAAATAAAAAAAAGAAATGTCTCAGATGCTGTAGGTTTTTAGAAAATTAAACCTAGGAATGAATATTCTAAAATTTAAAAACATCTTTATAAAAGTTAATAAAACGTGATAGGCACTGGAAAGGCATCTGATCAAAAATGCAGCAGTCGTATCTGATTATTAAAGTACTGTTGTCAAATACAAGAAGAAAGATAGTTGCTAAATATCTTTCACTTAAAATCCTCTAAAAGTCCTCGTTGCACTTGGAATAAATTTTACAGCCTGAAGACCCTGCAGGGACCCCGTTGGCCTGCACAACTCCCTGTCTCACACTCTCCTCTTCACTCCAGCCGCACTGGCCCGTATGTCATTCCTTCACCCCAGTGAGCTCTTTCCCACCTCAGGCCTTTGCACACACACCTCTCTGTACGCAAGGCTCTTTGCTCAGGACTTCACAGGACTGACCTTTTTCTCCTTTACATCTCACCCAAAAAAGACATCAAATTGTGGAAAGTGTTATCTATCTCTACATCATAAAATTAAATGGAGTCTATTTATATTCTCTCATTTTTTTATTTTTAAAATTGTCATTCCACCTGCATTAGATTTTTAAAAGGAAAAGGCACAGTAAATTCTTTTCATCTTAAATACATTTAAAATGTCTTTGGTAAGATCTGAAATATTGATCTAAAGTTTTCCCCTCAATAGTTGACCAGCTGTCCCAGTGCTATTTGTTGCCAAAGGGCCCCCATAATGATCCACTCAGTCCCACGAGTGCTCGGCCCTGTTCCTGATGTTGCTGCCCAGCTCCCGTGACCTGCTCACTCCAGCACCAGGACCGCACTATTTGACTGAGCAAGTCCCCTTCTTAAATTCTTTTCAACCATTTCCATATTTGTTTGCATATTTACTTTTCAGATAAAATTTAGAACAGTTTTTGTTTCCCCAAAGTCCTGTTATGATTTTGACTTCAAATGAGCAAATTTTAGATTAATTCAGGAGAATATGTGCCTTTGCAATAGTTTATCTTTCTATCCAGAAATGAGTAAGTCCATGATTTATGATTAAATGGAGAAATAGAGCATTGGAAGGTCCTGCACAATTCCCATTAACATCTTATTGTTGATGTTACACTTTGTATTTCCACCTGATGATTGTTTACATACATATGTATTTATGATAGTAATTGGCCATATATATTGAGTGTCCACCACATGCCAACTCTTTGTGTTAAGAACTTTATTAATATTATTCTTATGACTCATTTGCACATGAAAAAAGCAAATCTTAAAGAGCTCAACTAACTTACCTGAGGTTTCAGTGCAAGTGGCAAAGCTCAGACATGAATCCCAGCATCTGACAGCACAATCTTAACCATTGCATTATATGGCCTGCTGGGAACATCATTGCTTTGGGGTCCATTCTCTATAAATGGTCACTTTACTGAAGTTGCTTTTTTAAAAATATATTTTTTATTGATCTCAGACAGGATGGGAGAGGGAGAGAGAGATAGAATCATCATTGATGACAGAGAATTACTGATCAGCTGCCTCCTGCAGGCCCTCTACAGGGGATTGAACCCACAACCTGGGCATGTGCCCTGACCAGGAATCTAACCTTGACTTCCTGGTTTATAGGTTGACACTCAAAACTGAGCCACGCCGGCCGGGCTGAAGTTGCTTTTTATTTCTAATGGCATTTCAGTCCTTCACCTTAGGTTTCCCAGATAGGACATCTTATCAGCAAATAAGAATAATTTTTCCTTCTCCTTTCCAATATTTTTCTTCCTCCCCTTTGCCCAAAGGACAATAGCCATTTGTTATAATACATACACTGTTTTAAATATCATTTTTAAATCCATTAAATATCATAATATAGTAATCTTTAAGCTCAGGAGTACTGTGAAATGTAGGGTTTGAAATAAGACAAGACATTATTCCTGCAATGTTGAGTATGTCAGATTAAAAGTAGCTGGAATGGCTAAGTTGCAAAAAGACTTTCCAAGTAATATGTCTGTGCCTGTTTTTATCTTCTTACTAATCTAAAAATATTATACAGTTTAGTGTAAGTTATATTAATGCTAAGACTCTACTTGATTTTGCTCCTATGAATGTCATTGTTCAATTGAGGGCACTTAGGAAACAAATATTTGTTGGTGCCAATGTTGCAGACAGTTGAAGAAATGGATGGAGGCCACCAGAGTCAAGTCTCCGAGTTCCTGCTCCTGGGAACTCAGAGAGTCCTGCAGACCAGAAGGTCCTGTGTTAGATGTTCCTGTGTATGTACCTGGTCATGGTGTGGGAAATGTGCTCATTATCTTGGCCATAGGGACTGACTCCCACCTGCACACTCCCATGTACTTCTTTCTGGCCAATCTCTCCTTCGCTGACCCCTTCTTTGTCACCAACACAATCCCCAAGATGCTGGTAAACATTCAGTCCCTGAACAAAGCCATTTCCTACGTGGGATGTCTGACACAGCTCAACTTCCTGGTCCCCTTGGTGACCCTGGCCAACCTCATTTTGGCCACGAAGGCATATGACCACTATGTGGCCATCTGCGGCCCTCTCCACTACACCATGGCCATGAGCCCTGGGCTCTGTGTGGTGCTCCTCACCTTCTGTTAGGCACTCTCTATCCTCTGTGGCCTCATCCACACCCTCCTCATGCTCAAGGTGACTGTCTGTGGGTCCCAAAAGATCTAGTACATCTTCTGTGAGATGTATGTCCTGCTGAGGTTCACGTGTTCCAGCACTCAGATGAATCACACAGTGCTGATGGCCACAGGCTGTTTTATCTTCTTCACCCTATTAGGGTCCATGATCATGTCCTATTCCAGATTGTCTGAGCCATCCTCCAAATACCCTCAGCCACTGGGAAGTATAAAGCCTTCTCCTCCCGTGCCCCACATTTGGATGTCATCTCCCTCTTCTATGAGACACTTGACATGGTATATCTGTAGCCTCTCCTCACCTATTCCATGAAGGACTCGGTGGCCACAGTAGGCTGTGGGGTCATCCCCATGATGAAGAACTCTTTCATCTATATCTGAGGAACGAGGACATGCATGGGGCCTTGGGAAGACGCCTCCTAGGGAAAGCCTTCACAGAGATTGACGTGAGGGTAATTTGGGGCACTGGAGTGGAGACTGGGAACTTGCTCCATCATGTGAAGAGCATTACCCTCTGGGGAACACAGGTGTAAACAGGACAGAGATCCTGCTCAGAATGAGCTCACAGATCTGTGATGAAGAAAAGACATGGTAACCCAATATCCCCAAATCGCACCCGCCTTGGCAATAAATAAGGTCATGCAAACACTAATACTAGAAATCTGTAAGCGCAAATCCTTCACTTACCTGACCATAGGGCCACAGTGCCCCCAACCCAGCCTTTCAAAACATAGCCGGTTATGATCTGGGAGGGGTCTTATGTTGTAGCACACACCCACTCATGCTGGTGAGCGCTGGCCCTCTCTAAGGAGCCCACTACTTGTAAGCCATTTGGAGGAGACACCTTGCACTACCCTCCCTGCAAGTGTTCTCTGTGAGGCTGCCCAGCTCTGATGCTCTGCTGGGCACAGCTCCCACTGCTTCCGTCTGACCCAGAGTCTCTGGACAAAGCCCCTCAAATTCAGGCAACACTTGAAAAGTTCTCTCCTTTGCTCTGGGCTTATTTTTGTCTCTTGGGCCTTAACTAATAGTGACTGTGCCTTTCTCCTGCTTTCCTTTTCTCTGTGGGAAGGCCCTACCCCTGGGCAGCCCATCGTATCCTTTATGACTCTGGCTCCTCACTCCATTGCCCTTGCAACAACTCCATTCTTCACTCAAAACAAAACTCTCAAGCATATCAACACACATTCCTGAACAGGAGGGTGGTAGAAGCAGTAGACAAGAAGGAGATAAAAGGGAGATCTAATCTCTACTTAGGTTCAACCTGCCCTGTACAATGCACTGCCTAGAAAAGGGATAGTAACTGATACAAAGATACGTCATTGGAAGGTGGCAGTTGGGAAGAGAGAGCAATCCTTTACAGATGAGGCAGGGGAGCCAGCACTGACCTCGACTTGGAGACAGTTGAATTGGTAAGTTTCACTTCATTTCATTGTTAATGACCAAATGCCTTTTAGGCGCCTCAAATTGAGCTCCAAACATGAATCAGGAGCTCACGATGGACAGGGAAGAAGACAATTTTAATGCAGTGCCTGAAGGGTTATGGTCGGAGCAGGAGAGTTGGGAGCACAAAGTAGGAAAGCCTAGCCTGCCTTGTCTGTGATGGAGGATTCAGGGAAGGCTTCCTTAAGGTGGTGATAGCTGAGCTAAGATTAATGAATGCTGATGAGTCACCCAGAAAAGTGGCCAGGGGGAACTAAGATCACTCCCAGAGGGGCGGAGGCATGGAGTAGAGGGGATATTCGCAACGGCCTTGGACAGCTCTCCCCATCCCTAGGGTGTTTGTGGAAGTCACCTCACCATTCTAAGTGTCCTCTTCTCCCCTGTAAACTGAGAACAACAGCATTGTGTCACTCGAAGGGCAACTGTGAGGATTAAATGAGATAATATGCAAGAGCAGAGAGCATGTCCCATAGTCAGTGTAGTTGTTATTAAGCAGAACAACTGGACAAAAAGGCAATGGGGTATAAACACCTTGATGCATACAAGGACTGTCCCAGCTGAGTGTAACTGATGACCAAGCCACAGCAAGCCCTGTGGCTGAGGAGGACATAGTGGGGTACAGGCCGCCAAGGCCTTGTTGAAGAGCTTGGAATATATTGTGTAGGCGATGAGATACCACTGAATGTTTACTATTTTTAACTTTCATTGTTTTTATTAAACCAACAATATGCGTTACTGTAGAAATACTCAAGTAAAAATAAGCCAAAAAATAATTAGCTGTATTTAAATTTTACACTTTGATCTCAGCTAAATCAAATTAGTTTGAAACTTGTTTTTTTACAGAATAATATCTATGTTAGTAAATATCCGGCTATATTACAACTTAATGCCGATGCAGTAGTTCAGTGTGCAATTCAATAAATATATCAGAATTCATGTAACGCACTTCTCAGTATTCAATATAAAGTTGCTTCCAGTTTTTTCCCGTTGCTTGCAACATCATAGAAAATGTCTTAGTTTTGTTCACTTACCTGATTGTTTCCTTAGGCGAAATTGGTGAAGTGCACTTGCTGGGCCAAAAGTTTTTATTGTTCATAGTGTTGGTACATTTTTCAAAAACGACCTCTACAAATCCACCCCTACATTTTCACCAGGAGAGGGACACAAGCTGTGGTTTTTGTTTTGTTTGGGTTTATTTGCCTGTTGAGGTTCAGAAAGGTGAGAAAGCTGCGGGAACTCTTAAGTGCAATAGGCAAAAGCAAAAGTAACATTGTGTTTTTTAGCAACACAGTGCTCATTAACATTCTACTAAAAATAGGGGTATTCTTTCTCTCTTTCAGATCATCATGGAAATAGCCGCCCGGAAGTTAATTCAAGTTCCAACCGACACTCAGAAGTGGGAGCAGTCCTTTGTGAGCTGGCTCCCAGCTATTTTTTGTTGTTATTAATCCTCATTGGAGGATATTTTTCCCATTGATTTTTAAAGAGAGTGAATGGGAGAGGGAGAGATAGAGAGAGAAACATTGAGACACATCGACTGATTGCCTCCCGCACATGCCAGAACCAGGGCCAGGGATCTAGCCTGCCTGCAATCGAGGTGCATGCCCTTGACTGGAATCGAACTTGAGACCCTTCAGTCCACTGGCTCCCAGCTATTAACAGGCTATCTGCTATGTCTCTTTCTCTTGCTCTCCAGCTGCTCTAATCTAATTGAGAACATCCAGAATTTTTTTCTGATCTAATATAAAGAATTTTATTAAACTAATGAAGTCACATGTCCACATGCAATCATCATCTCTGTGGCCAGGCCAGTGAGCTGTGCTGATACCTCCACTCTGGGTCCCTGAACCACACTCCCGGAACCAGCTAGATATGGAAATTGGCAGCTGTTAGAAAGGGGGAAATGGAAGTCATGTCCACCACAGGCCATTGTCAAATAAAATGTTGACTTCGGGTTTCCGCTATGATATAGAAGAGCTTGGAAGTCCTTACTCTCATTCTTAGAAAAAGAAAAAAGATGAACAATCCAGAAAAATGGAACTCTTTTCAGATCAATCAGATCATTGAAGTTCTATGACTTTGAAATTAACCTTTGCTGCTGCAAACCATTGAGATTTAGGGTTTTGTTAGCACAATACAACCTAGCCTATCTTCCTGATAAATGGAAAACATCTTTTCCACTCAAAATGAGACATAAAATAAAAAAGCCATGAAAAGACAGATTTGACCACATAAAAATGTAACACATCTGTTTAGCCAAACACGCATCCATCAAATTGAGAAAATGGCAAGCTAGAGAAACCATTTGCAAGTTACATGTCAAAAAGCTGACATCCTTTGTTAACTAACCTTTTTGGTCTTGGAGGAGAGGCAGGACATAGGAAACAATTTCTAAGGAAAGCACCCTTAAGAGTTGGGATGAATGTTCAGGGGGAAGCATGCCAAGGCCTGGAGGTAAGAGATTACCCTTTGGGGTAATAGATGAGTTGGGGGTGGGGGTGGGGGTGGAGGGGAATAGCACTAATTGCTCAGAGTCTAGTGCAGTGATGGCGAACCTTGCTCGGCGTGTCAGCATTTTGAAAAACCCTAACTTAACTCTGATGCCGTGTCACATATAGAAATTTTTTGATATTTGCAACCATAGTAAAACAAAGATTTATATTTTTGATATTTATTTTATATATTTAAATGCCATTTAACAAAGAAAAATCAACCAAAAAAATGAGTTCGTGTGTCACCTCTGACACGTGTGTCATAGGTTCGCCATCACTGGTCTAGATGAAGTGGTGAAAAATGTGTACTGGTAATGCCCTCAAAATATTTTTGGGGTTTCACCTTAGGAAACGGTTCATTCAAACTATCATAACCAAAAGTAGTTAAATGTGAAGAACATGGAGAGATGATCCGGTCCAGGTCCTTATGGAAAAGGTAAAAACAAGCCCACCTACAGAAAGGAAGTCTCCAAGGTCACAGAGCAGCGGTTACAGCCCATATGCCTGGTTTTCCTTCATGAGAATTTTGCCCTGTGAGAGAAGCTCATTCTCTCCAACCCCACAGTGTCTGCAGAACCAAGAGTGTCAGGAAAGCGACACACAGTTCACCTCTGCTCATTAGACTGTAACTAGACACATCTTCCCTCCCTCTCCCCATCTGTCAGTCCTACCCTGACCTTCTAAGATGATCAGCCAGCCAGAGGAAGCATAGGAGGAATTCCCAGACATCTTTGTATCATTTTTCCTTTGGTGAAACTTAAACATTTTTTTTTTTTTTTGCTGGGAAGAGTGGGGGCTAACAATAGCATCAAATTTTCTATTTACATGGCCCAGCTAATGGGAAGTCATTCCATAGTATGAATTTTGTTCTTATCTCCAACCCCTGCTCATTCTGCATTTTCTCTATATCCATCTTTGACCTCAACATTCCTTAGTCACCTTGATTGATGCTCCTAATTCTCCCATCTTTTCTCATCTCCCATTTTCTCATGCCCTTATCCTTCTTTCTGGGTTCAGCTCACCGTCCTGTCGCATCCCTCCCTATATCCTCACATCTCATCTTCATGCCTCCACACCCAATCCTGTCCCACTACCCACTCTCATGTCTTTTTCCCCATCCCATTTCAGCTCATCCTTCCAGTTCCTTGGCTCCAAGAAGAGATCACAGAGCAGACGAGCTCCAGGTGTAGCCATGGGCAGTTTTAGGAGTGATACAGCTGAGGGACATCACAGCAGAACTGCCAGGACAGGGAAATAGCCTTCCGATGGAGGCTGGAGAAGAGACACAAATCAGGAATGGATGAGCTGAAGCTGGATGAACACCAAGAAGTGGAAATTCTCTGGGCTGGAGCTGCACTTTTGTACTAATCTTGAAAGTAAATTCAGAAAGAAGCATTACTCCCAGGGACAACATGATGGATATTTTCTAAACTAGGAGGTTTGGGAGAGAAAAGTAAGACTTTGGAGGAGAAGGTTATGGTGGACATTCTACATTGAAAAGTCTCAGGATCTGGTTGGAGCATAAATGCTTACTCTTTCAAAGGCTTTACCATATATGTGTGAAAGATGACTCAATAAGAGAGAAAAATATGGCAGAGGATGGAGATGAAGCATACCTTTTTTGACCTGAAGATATATCATTTATGCATTAATGTAGCTTTTATTTAATAGGCTATTTCCTTTTCTAGGCCCTACCTGTCACCTAGATATCCTATGGGAATCTATGTTAGTAAAAAGAAGGAACTGATTTTCTTGGAGGTGAAAGGTGAACAGTAGAATAGAATATTCCTTAGCACTGGTTTAAAACAGCTTTCTGCACTCTTTTCTAGAAGGAATCTCACATTTCCCACAAGAAGAAGACTTCACAGTGATATTATAGGTGATTAAGGAGTGATTAAGCAAATAATCCTTCCTTGCTGCCCAGAACTACCTGGCTTCCAAGGCTTCAACTCTACCCGGAAAGTGAGCGTAGCTAAATACAAGGAACAACTTGCCAGGGACACTTGCTTTGCAGATCCTAACCGCATGTCCCCTTATCTACTTGTCTTTCTCTATAGTATGTATCACTATGTGATCTATCATATAGGATGCCTATTTATTTCATTTCTTTTTTCCTCCCTTCATTAGAATGTGAGTTCCATGAGTGTAAAAACTTTGTCTATTTTGTTCACCAGTGCCCTAGAAGAGCATTTGGATCATAGAAGCAATTCAATAAATGTTTATTGTATGAATAAATTATGCAGGATTTCTTTGCAGGACAAACACATCACACAAAATTTTTCAAGATGAGGATCTATACATGAACGGTTCATAATCATTTCTTGAGTTACTGACTTCATGGGAAATTTTCCTCAACCCAAAAAAAGGCAGGGAAGAAGAGACCCTATCACCACTCAGTTCAGTAACCGCCTCCCAACCAGGACCCGCCACAGGGCACCCTGAACATCAGGGTTTCTAAGGCTGTAGATAAGTGGGTTCAGCATGGGGTTGATAACTGTGTTGAAAATCCCAACCCCTTTATCCTTATCTGAAGCCTCCTCTGTACCCAGACGCATGTAGTTGAAGATACCAGTTCCATAGAAGAGGCAAACCACAGTGAGATGGGAGCCACAGGTGAAGAAGGCTTTCTTCCTGCCCTCCACTGAGCGGATCCGTAGGACTGCAGCTGTCACGTGGGTGTAGGAGGTGATGATGAGAACCACAGGTGCACCTGTCATAAGGAAACCCAGACCAAAGAGCAGCAGCTCATTGAGTTGGGTGCTGGAGCAAGAGAGCTGGAAGAGCTGTGGCAGGTCACAGTAGAAGTGATTGACCTCATTGGGACCACAGAAGTTGAGTGTAGTTAGGGCAATAGTGTGGAGTGCATTGGTGGTGAGGGCACAGGCCCAGGACACAGCCACCAATATCCACTGGACTGAATGGCTCATGCGGGTGCTGTAGGTGAGGGGCCGGCAGATGGCCAGAAATCGGTCATAGGCCATGGCTGTCAACAGGAAGCAGTCCACACCAGCCAACTGATGGAAGAAGAAAACCTGTGTGAGGCAGGCTCCATAGGGAACTGCACGCTTGTGGGACAAGAGGCGGCCCAACATTGAGGGAACAGTGACAGTGATGCACCCAATGTCCAGTACTGATAGGTTCCCTAGGAAGAAGTACATGGGGGTGTGGAGTTTGGGTTCCACCAAGATGGCAGCCAGGATGCTGAGGTTGCCCCCAACTGTGAGCAGGTAGGCAAAGAGGAAGAGCACAAAGACCGGAGACTGCAGCTTCTCTGTTTCAACGAGGCCTAGTAGAATGAACTCAGTAACAGCAGTCCCATTGGTCTCAGCTTCTGGATCCATGAGTCCCTGTAAGGGAATGTCCCAGGTGTGGAAGCATCAGTCTACCTAATGTATTTATTCAACACTAGAGATCAGTGCATGAAATTCGTGCACAGGTGGAGTCCCTACACCTGGCTGTCGATCAGGGCTGAATGGGGCCTTCTGGCTGCTAGCCAAGGCCCCCCTTTTCTGGCTGCCAGCTGCTGGCCAGGCCTTCCTTAGTTCTATGCCGCCCCCTGGTGGCCAGCATACATCATACCAAGCATATTAGCCTTTTATATATATAGATAAGTGGTTTAAACCACCTATTTTCACAACTCCCTGATAAGTTCCCAGTGCTCTAGCTGATGATTTCCCACTCCCCACTACCTCACTCACTGACCTCCCACCACCTCAAAGCCTGTACCCTATTCTTAGCTGAGATGCCCCAAACCATCATCATCTTGCCCCTCCCATACTCTCTTTATTGAAAGGGCCAGAATACTTGGAAAAAATACATTAAGATAAAAGCAGACTTCCTCTTTGAATGTAGTAAGATTAAGATGGAATTTCCCCATTTTACTCTGAGGGATTAGTCCAAACCAATAAGCAGATTTCAAAATAAAAATTTAATGATATTTCCAGTAAAAATAGATGGTCTTTTAAAACATAGCCTAATCTCAAGGCTTTTAGAAATAGTGAAGATGAAGCAAAGATATGGCAGGAATCAAGGAGACGAACCTATGATTGTGGACGTTGGACACTCTAGCCAAGTTCATTTTCCCAAGGTGAGAGACATACTCTGAAATATAAATTCAAAATCCCTCAGTCAATAAATTGCCAGTGTTGTTGTTAATTAAGCCCTTCCTCTAGACTTTGAATAACAGCTTGATTTTAAATGATTTGTTTTTATGATATCTGCTACCTGCTTCTGAAATAAAAATTGCAACATAACCTACCTGGTGGTTGCTGCTAGGGGCAACCCTAGGTGGTTGCTGCTAGTGGAGGCCACTAGCCTCCACTTGTCCTTGCCCTGGGCATGGTCGATTGACCAATAGCTCTAAGGAGAGTCCTCACATGAAGCAAGCACATACGTAGAGCCAGATGGAGTTAAGTTCTTATAATAAACTCCTGGTCAAAATATATTTATGTGCCTTTACTGCCCATGGCATAAGCAGAGCTAGAGCTTCACTAAGATTATGTTATTCCCTTTTAGAGAACACACTGGCATCAGAGTTTGGAGTCTGGTGACTCTAACAAAAGGGAAAGGGTGATGAGGGCCTGAGCTCACACGGATAAAAAGTTGGATGCGGTGAACTCTAAAATAGTCTTAAACTAAGTGCACATACTTGGTGAGATGGGGACGGGGGTCATTCTCAGGGGTAATCATCATTTATAAAACTGATAATTGATAAATGCTTTGCAAGTTGACAAATCAATAGATGAATAACAGCTCTTTACATATATTAAAGAGTAATTAACTACTTTTCATTTTCCCTTTTGTGTCCATTTAAACATAAGCATTAGATTACGACCCTCTGATTTTTTTTTTATTCATGCTGTTTTCTCTACCTGCAATGGCTTCCCTCCAACTCCACATGGCCAAGTTTATGAACACTTGACTCAAATACTGGCTATGAATGAATTCTTTGTAAAAAAAAAAAAAGTCTCCATCTCAAAAGGGTCTTTCTCTCCTTATCTCTCTCTCTCCTTTCTCTCTCTCTCTCTCTCCCTCTCTCTCTCTCTCTCTCTCTGGATCAGGGGTCCTCAGACTTTTTATTTATTTATTTTTTTTTAAATATTCTATTGATTTTTTACAGAGAAGAAGGGAGAGGGACAGAGAGCCAGAAACATCGATGAGAGAGATCGATCAGCCGCCTCCTGCACGCCCCTCAGTGGGGATGTGCCCGCAACCAAGGCACATGCCCCTGACCGGAATCGAACCCGGGACCCCTGAGTTCGCAGGCCGACGCTCTATCCACTGAGCCAAACCAGTCAGGGCATGACAGGGCAGTTTTTAAAAATAACTTTATTGTAGATAGATAGATCTCAACTACCACTACACATTATTACTGTTTACCTTCTAGCTAAGTCACTTCTCTAAAAAGCATATCTCCCCTACTTCTCTGTAGACTGATTCAGTTTTCCAATAGCAGTACTTACCACAATATTTCACACATAGTAGTTACTCAATGTTTCTTAGATAAATAAATGATGGTTCCAGTGTTTATAGGATTTCAGAGAAAGAGGCTCTAGAATGAGCTGGAGTTGTTATGGAAGACATTGTGGAAATATTGAATTTGCACTAGACATTTTAATGCATTAGTCTGATGTAGTGGAGGGGAAGGGCCCAGTGCAGGGTACGAGGTTGCTGCAGGGACTACTGCTTTCCTTGGTTTTGATGGAACAGGCAGCAAATGTAGCAATCCACACACTGATAAGTTTCTTTTCATGTAAATCACCCAAAAGAATAAGGCCCCGTAGGTGGGTGAAACCTTCCAGATAAGTAAGTTATAGTCAGGAATAGAAGAACAACAGAACAGCTGCTGCCAACTCTCAGGTGGCCAGAGATACAACTTACCTGAAATCAGTGGGATTCTGAGATGACCTGCAATCATGCAGTGACATCTAGAGGGTCTGACAGGGTCACCATGATGCCCAACATGAGGAGCCCTCCTGTATGACCACTCTTGGGGCCTTGTAATGAGCCCCAGGTTCTCCTCGTGGAGCTAAAACAGCTCCCTACTCTGGACCTCCACCAGTTCCTCCCAGTGATGAAAAGGCTCAACAACCTGCTACTGGAGTGAAGGTTCTAGGCTGCCTGAACCTTCACTGCCCAGGACGATGAAGTCATCCTGGGCAGTGAACTAGACTCAGGGAGTCCCTTCCCACTCTCCCCTAAGAGTA